TATCTGGTTCTTTCCATGTAAAACATTCAGCTTCCACATCTCCATAGGTAGTCCTTGCTTAGCGCCTGTAGGTTTGTATTGCAATTTTATCCCCTCAGTGAGACTGTCTGTTTGTGGCCAGGCTGCTCAGCACTGCAAATTCCCACTACTTGTCCTTGGAGAGGTGGCAGTCAGCTTGCAGTTAGAACATATTCTATGAAAAGTGATGCAAGAATGCAATATCAACTACAATGTCACAGGGGGGTATTAGTGGCAGTAACGGGACTGGTCTTTGGTACTTGGACAGTGGCTTGGTGCTGGTTTTGGAGGCCCTGTGGGCTAGTGAAAGAATCTGCGTTACACACGAGCACAGGGCCCATGCAGTATGTTTTTCCTGCCTCTGGTTCTGATTACGGATTAATTCTTTTACATAATCCATGGCTGCACTGACTATTTTGTTTTTAAGTTATTTATATTGAATTCATCTAAACAAGTGAATGGATTAATGAATAAGTAGCATAAGTCTAAATGAATTTACCGTTGACAAAAATGAAGCATTTCAATGCATGTGGGAGGTTCCTTCTCCTGGCAGGAAAGGAAAATAATACACGAAGGAGCCATACAAAATGAGTAAGTCTTGCATATTGGCAACAATTTTGCAAAGAGCGCTACCTGTCTTTTCTGGATATTTACAGAATTCTGGGAGGTGAAGAGTGATGAAAATTTTAATACAAGCACCATTTAATTGCTTATGGATGTTATGTTTGTGAGGGAGGTGAAGTAACTTTTTCATTAATAGATTTATGCATTGTTTTTTAATTGAGTATAAGCAAATAAAAATATTCTAAATCATGGGTCAGTTATGAAGGATAGATAACAGGAGAACCATATGTGAGTCCAATGGCAAATGAGCTATCATCATAGATATGAACAAGAACTGCTTTGACCTAAGCTCATCCTCCAGTTGTCCCACTAGAGGCAACCCTGGCCCTGAATGTTTTTGTCTTTCTGGTCTTGATAAGACTTTGCATTTTTCTGGCCCATGCTATTACATACTATTTTGCTTGCCTATCCCATTTGAATTTTGGGGGAACATATGTTCAGCTTCATGTGACTCACCAGGTAGTTCACAAATAATTCTTGCCCTTTTGCCCTTTAATGCTTGGTTCCTTTTATGTTTTAGCTTCCTTATTCATGAGCTATATTTTAACATTATCCTATTCATTTTTACATATAAAAAAAAAAAAAAAACCCACAAAAAACCCTAGTACACATAGTCCCTGGTAAGGCTCAGTTATCAGTTAAGTAAATCATCCCTTTTCCTTAGCATAGGACCGGAAGAGTTGAACAAAGTATTTTTGTTCTTGGCAACACTCCTGGGAATATCTGGAGCTGATTCCCTTCCAAGCAGTTAATGATTTCACCCAAATGAATACAGAAGTGCTGGTGAATATTTTGCCTGTGATTCTTCTGGGATTTGGGTCTTGTGATTATGTGTATAACACAGTAAGATAATCATCTATGTGCTACAAACAAGAATACATTATTATCCACTCATCTTTGAACCCAGTATTTCTAGTAGTCATTGTTATGCTGACCCTGGGATGGGGTCAAGGATGTTTCCTCAGATGGTATAGAAATGAAAAAGTGGGGAGGCAAGTGCAAGTGTTGCAATCTTTTCAGAAGCAGAGAAGACTGGACACTGGCTCAAGGGGACCCAGTTATCTATGTGGCCCAGCTTTTACACTTCAAGAAGAATAATAAAAAATCTGAAGTCCTTCTCATTCAGGTCCGCTCATGCAAATGAGGCAAACTCCAGCTTGTGACGCACATGCAAATGAGGCATGCGAGTGCTACCAATCTGATACGCCGAAAACAAGGTGGCGTGTTCTGGCGTTTTCAGTTAGCTGGAGCCGTGGTTTTTCTGGGAAGAGTTTTGCAGAGGCTTTTGTAAGTTTTAACACCTGGAAAAAGGTTTTTAAAATTTTCTTGTGACTCCACCTTTTTTTTTTTTTTTTGGCCGAGAGTCCATGTCCACTTCTACAGTGAATCCGACAACGATATACAAGATATTAAATGACGCCTTTATTATCGCAGGCATAGGGAATTTGCTGCATATGCAGCAATCCAAAATTGAGTCAGTTAAAGCACGCTGTCATCTGCTGCGGAGGCACGTACAATACCAATGAGAAAACCAAGAAAAAGCACATCACAGCTGATAAAGTAAACAAACTAGAAATCTCCTTCACATCATCAGTTGTGTTTTTGTGTAAATAAGTTCAAACCTAAATACTGGGGCCATCCTGAAGGTAGTAAGGGATTGCACGATAAAAAGTGACAAAGATGACTAGACAGTAATTCCTTGTAATGATACCCTTCTGTGCTAAAAGCAAAACGAAATTTAGTAATCTAGCAATGCAGGTACAGTACAGAGGAGCAAGAGTCCAAAACATTATGGCTCACCAGATAGCAATTGTGTTAAATTCAAGTATAGTAACACTGGCACATTGTTACTGAAGGGAGTTTTTGTAACCAGAACCAGGTTGGGGACAGAATGCTGTATCTCCCCAAAGCAGTAAAAAGGAGTAACTGTGGCCAGTTAGTTACCTATAATCAGTATGCATAAACACCAATGTCACAGATCTTTCATAGGCTGTGTAGGTGGCTCTGAAAAGAGCCTTTGGGGTGAATTGTGCCCAAGCACGCGTCTACTTGGAGCTGGTGTACTTGGTGACGGCCTTGGTGCCCTCGGACACGGCGTGCTTGGCCAGCTCGCCGGGCAGCAGCAGGCGCACGGCCGTCTGGATCTCCCGCGACGTGATGGTCGAGCGCTTGTTGTAGTGCGCCAGGCGCGACGCCTCGCCCGCGATGCGCTCGAAGATGTCGTTGACGAACGAGTTCATGATGCCCATGGCCTTGGACGAGATGCCCGTGTCCGGGTGCACCTGCTTCAGCACCTTGTACACGTAGACCGAGTAGCTCTCCTTGCGGCTGCGCTTGCGCTTCTTGCCGTCCTTCTTCTGCGCCTTGGTCACCGCCTTCTTGGAGCCCTTCTTCGGGGCAGGAGCGGACTTGGCTGGCTCAGGCATCGTGGCTGCAAGACTCAAATCTGTCCTCCACGAGAAGAAGTCAGAGTGCGGAGGCCCGTGCGCCACCAGCCTATTTCTGCGCTGAACATGCAAATGAGGATTGTAGATGTCTGGGTTTTCATTGGCTTGCTGGCTTCGCTGCCTGCTGATAGGCTACGACGGGATGCTGAGCTCCCATTGGCTCTATCAGTATCCTCGCCTCAGACAGGACCGCCCTACGGCGGCAGACGTCCTATGCAAACTAGAGGCAGCCTGTTCTCACAGCTGCGTTGTGATTGGCTGGACGTGGCATCCGGACGCTGCCATAGGCTACTTTACGAAACCAGAGCAGAGTATAACTGTGCAGCTGCCGGGTGCTGGGCATCTTGGGTTTAGCTGAACCTCAGAGCCATCGCCATGTCTGGACGCGGCAAGCAGGGTGGCAAGGCTCGCGCCAAGGCCAAGACTCGGTCCTCCCGGGCCGGGCTGCAGTTCCCCGTGGGCCGCGTGCACCGGCTGCTGCGCAAGGGCAACTACGCCGAGCGCGTCGGCGCGGGCGCTCCCGTGTACCTGGCTGCCGTGCTCGAGTACCTGACGGCTGAGATCCTGGAGCTGGCGGGCAACGCGGCGCGCGACAACAAGAAGACGCGCATCATCCCGCGCCACCTGCAGCTGGCCATCCGCAACGACGAGGAGCTCAACAAGCTGCTGGGCAAGGTCACTATTGCCCAGGGTGGTGTTCTGCCCAACATCCAGGCCGTGCTGCTGCCCAAGAAGACCGAGAGCCACCACAAGGCCAAGGGAAAGTAAAGTCTAAGATCTGTAAAGGTTTTTTTGTTTTGTTTTCAAACCAAAGGCTCTTTTCAGAGCCATCCACGTTTTCAGAGATGAGCTGTTAGCCGTGTCATTTCTAAAGAGTGCTATACTTCATGTTGTACATTTGAGGTTAGGATATGTGTCCAGTTTTTGTGGGTAACAAATAGGCCATACCCCTGGCAAAGGCGTCATAAGAAATGATTTTTTAAAATATTTATTTTATTGGTAAGGCAGATATACAGATAGGAGAGACAGGAAGATCTTCCGTCCGATGATTCACTCCCCAAGTAAGCGCAACGGCCGATGCTATGCCGATCCGAAGCCAGGAGCCTCTTCCGGGTCTCCCACATGGGCGCAGGTTCCCAAAGCTTTGTGCCCTCCTCGACTGCTTTCCCGGGCCACAGGCAGGGAGCTGGAAGGGAGGCAGGGCTGCCGGGATAGAACCGGCGCCCATATGGAATCCCGGATGTGCAAGGCGAGGACTTAACCACTGCGCCACAGCGCCGGGACCAAGAAATGTTTTCGTTCAGTTCATACAATCCCGCCTGTCTAAAGTAGCAGTAAAACCCTTCGTTTTCGCCCCACAGGTCCTGAAACTTTAACATAGCTGCTGGGGACAGCTTCTGTTTTCACTGTGGTAGACAAAGAGGTTTAAGCTAACATGAGTCCGGGAGGTTGTCACCGAGCTAGGAGAACGGCTGTTGAGGCTTTCAGGAGTCCAGAATTGTTGGGAAAAGTCGGGTTCGGAGCTATTTTAGGCGGATCCGAATTTCCTAAGGCCTTTGTCATTTGACAGGAGCCCAGGGATGTGTTAGAGTGGCAGTTGCCGCAATCTAGAAATCCGCAGGAAAATAGCTGGGACACGAGGCGTTCCAAGCCTATTCCCGGAAGACTCGCACTGAATATCAAATGCTTCTCTAACGGCTGCTACGGTTCAATCACCATAGTAAACGAACAAGAGCGGCAAAAAAGTTGTCGCTGGGCCGGAAGGAATTAATCCAATGAGAGCCCAGTGCGTCAGCACCACGTCATCCTCGCTGCAGCCACTGGCCTTACTCCGCGGGAGTTTTTAAAGTGGAGAGACCAATAAGAATGTCCCTCAGTATATTTAAAGGGAGAACGGTGCGGAACGCACTCAGTCTCTCCTTGTAGCTGCTGCAGGCTTCCCAAATGGCTCGCACGAAGCAGACAGCCCGCAAGTCGACCGGCGGCAAGGCCCCGCGCAAGCAGCTGGCCACCAAGGCGGCCCGCAAGAGCGCGCCGGCCACGGGCGGCGTCAAGAAGCCGCACCGCTACCGGCCCGGCACGGTGGCGCTGCGCGAGATCCGGCGCTACCAGAAGTCGACGGAGCTGCTGATCCGCAAGCTGCCGTTCCAGCGGCTGGTGCGCGAGATCGCGCAGGACTTCAAGACGGACCTGCGCTTCCAGAGCTCGGCCGTCATGGCGCTGCAGGAGGCGTGCGAGGCCTACCTGGTGGGGCTCTTCGAGGACACCAACCTGTGCGCCATCCACGCCAAGCGCGTCACCATCATGCCCAAGGACATCCAGCTGGCGCGCCGCATCCGCGGGGAGCGGGCTTAAGTCGTCCTTCCCTGGAACACCGCACCGTGAAAATCCAAAGGCTCTTTTCAGAGCCACCACTTCATCTTCAAAACAGCTGTGACTTCAGAGATTTCCTCATTTGTCACTGTATGTCTTTATTATTTTTGGTTGGTTAATTTGGGATGATTTTTTGGCTTAAGAAGCGGTATATCTTGTCCTGTTTGGTTGCTTCAAAACATTTTTAGGATGCTGAGCATGCCCAGAAAGTAAAACTGGCAGCTTTTTTAGAATGATTTTCTTTTCTATGCACTCATGATGTCTGTCATGCTAAATGTAATTGTGGTTTTTCAATTGCAGTGCGTTAGCTATTTGTCTTGTTATTGCTACGCTGTGAACTGGTAACCATGAAGAAGCTGCTAACTGAACGGCTGTCTAAGAATGGATGGATATTTCAGTTTTTATTGCTGCCACTTGTGCTAGATTCACAGCCGTGAATTCATTGTGCCAGTAGAGTAAGGGAAGCTTTCGTGCACCGTTTTTGGTCCACGTGGCTAAGTTAGGGTGGAGGTTGAGCACAGGCAATGCTACTTTTGCTTGGAAGCAGGTGTTTCCATTTTGGCTGACTAGCTGCTGTCTGATCCCACATCAGCAAAGACGCCTCCACCAGGCTTTTCTGAATGTCTGTGTTCATAGGGAAGTCTCAGTGTGCTTGATTTCTGGACTACTTGAATATCTCACTACGACAGCAAGGAAGCTGCTCCTCTGAGCAATCTCCCAGCCCCTTCCTGAGGTGTGCTGTTTTGCATTTACATGGGGACTTGGATATTCAAGGTTTTTTTTTTTTTCCTTTTAAAGATTTAGCTATTTTTTATTGGAAAGGTAGTAGGAGGGATAGATCTTCCGTACAGTGGTTTACTGTCTAAATGGTTACTTTGACAGCAGCTAGTTGATCTGAAACCAGGAGCTTGTTCCAGCTCTCCCAAGGCCTTGGGTCATTCTCTACTGCTTTCCCAGGTGATGAGCAGGGAGCTGGGGTGGGAAGTGCAGCACTCTACATGCACTGATGCCCCTATGTTATCCGCACGCTTGCAAGCTGATGGTTTAGCCAATTGAGCCATCGTGCCAGGTTCTCAGGTGATTCATTTGTATAAATTTTAGCAATTTCATTTCATTTCTCTCAGGTCGTTTTCTTTTTTCTAAACCTTATGTGATGGACCTAGTCTTGTTGCCTCAGAGGCAAATTCTTGCTTTGTATGCACCAGGATCCCATATGAGTGCTGGTTCATATCCTGGCTGTTGCAGTTCTCTTTCAGTTCCCTGCTTTTGTGATATACGACGATTTGTAAAAAGAAAAAAAAAAAAAATGAAAAGCCACTGTATCACTCAGTTCTCACGTTATACCATTGCCCAAAGATGTTTCCTGTGATCACTTCATCTTAGCTCCCTCATAAATATCCGTGTAGAAGTTGTAATCGTACTACTTATAGAAAAATTTTTGACGTATTCAAAAGGAAGAGAGACACCTTGCACCTGCTGGCTAATCCCCCAGTGCCAGCAGCAGCAGGGGTTGGGACATCTGAAGCTGGGAGTCTAGGTCTGCTCTCCTTGCAGGTACTTCGACCATTACAGTTGTGTGTCTATGACCCTCCTAGGCAACCACTGCATTCAGATGTTGCACTTGAATCATGCCAAGGCTCCGCAATGTGCTGATGTCTTCGCTCTTAAGTGCCTGCCTCACACTAATGGATTTTAAGATGTATCTATTATGTGTATATTTTCTGAGTGTTGACAGTGGGGGCAGATGCTGGGTTGTGTGTTCACAACACACACAGAATGGAAAAGAGAAAGAGGAACTAAGTGGTTATGTGTCCTCCAAGAGAAGCAAGGAAACCTGGCCATGCAGGGTCTGTGGAAGGGAAGAACATGGGTTCTTACTTTGGAGTAAATGCTGGTAACAAGATATAAGAACATCAAAAACTAGATCAAGGAGAAAAATGTGTGTGGGAATGGCGACTTGATGGTGGGGGGCAGAGATCGTAAGGATCTGCCTCTAGCTGTCACTCAAAGCTTGCTCGCTGAATTCCTCTATCCGTCTTTCATCTACCCTTCTGTCTCCCTTGCAGGATGGGGCAGAATAGCCGAGAAGCCAGCATTCAAATTCTAGCACACCAGAAATCCCTTCTAGGACAAAAGCCGCATTTCTATGTGGAAAATTAGAGCATGTATTTTCCACAAATGTCAGGTGATTGCCTAGCCATCGATAGTTTTATTTGAATTTAAGGACCCTGACAACTGCCAGCGCCACATATTTCTCTCCCTCTTGAAATGATGTGCCAACTAGACGTACTAATGGTAGCTTCCTTGGGAATTGTCCAGCTGGTCCAGGGCTTAAGAATTCATACTTGGACAGCTTGTAATATAGTGCCTGTGACATGAGTGTAAACTCCTCTGGTTCAGGAGATTCCTAGGGTGGTGACAGCCGACAGCTGAGTTGCATTTTGGAGACTGTCTCCGGCTGGCTTATTATAGTCAAAGTCTAAAGCCCTTGTCGGCAAGGGTTTTCAGATTCAAGTGCAAAGGTACAGATCTGAGGTACTATTTCCTGAGCTTCTTCAATCTCCACAGATCCTGGGATGTTCTTTGCCCCTTTCTTCTGGCAGGATGGAATGTGAACATGCTTGCTGGAACTGGAGTAAGTGTCTTAGAATACAGGATGTCAGGAGCTTGTTAAGAATGGCAGAGCTTGGACCCGGCACCATGGCCTAGCTGCTAAAAGTCCTCTCTGAACGTGCTAGGATCCCATATATATGGGTGCCAGTTCTAATTTCGGCAGCTCCACCTCCCATCCAACTCCCTGTTTGTGACCTGGGAAAGCAGTTGAGGATGGCCCAAGGCCATGGGACTTGTGTGGGAAATTTGGAAGAAGCTCCTGGCTTCTAGTTTTGGATCAGTTCAGCTCTGGCTGTTGTGACCACTTGGGGAGTAAATTAACTGATGGAAGATCTTCCCCTTTGCTTCTCTCTCAGTCTGACATTCCAATTTAAAAGACAATAAAAGACCTACAGAACACACTGACCAATGTGTTTTCTGGATCCCACGCCTTAAACTCAGGGAATCAATTTTTTTTTAAGATTTATTTTTATTATTATTTTTTATTGGAAAGGCGGATATACAGAGAGGAGAGACAGAGAGGAAGATCTTCCGTCCGATGATTCACTCCCCAAGTGAGCGCAACGGCTGATGCTATGCCGATCCGAAGCCAGGAGACTCTTCTGGGTCTCCCACGCGGGTGCAGGGTCCCAAAGCTTTGGGCCGTCCTCGACTGCTTTCCCAGGCCACAGGCAGGGAGCTGGAAGGGAAGCGGGGCTGCCAGGATTAGAACCGGCGCCCATATGGGATCCCGGGCGTGCAAGGTGAGGACCTTAACCACTGCGCCACCGCGCCGGGCACAGGGAATCAATTTTAAGTACAAAAAACAAAGCATGGGAAAGAGAGAAGGCAAAGCTAACATCATATCTGAAGTATGTTGTGTGACATGTGATCTCAAGCCTGGATTATACAGGTGATACTGTTATGGGGAACTTTTCCCAAGGGACTAGGTAACCTCTGATCTGTCTCACATTGAAAGAATTTCCACATGGACAAATCAATGAGCAAACAGATTTCTTAAGTCAGAGACCTCCTGCCTGTCACGAGGGAAGTTTTCAAGAGAGAAAGACCCAAGGAAATGTTTGAAGTGGTGTCTCTTAAGCGCAGTTTTGGTGACCCAAGTAATAGGTAACAATCAATGAGAGGTGGGGCGAAACTCATCAGAGGGTCAGGTTTGTGATTCTGTTTCCTTAGCTCAGATTAAAACAAAAAGCTTGATGGGTGTGTCGAGGAACTTTTTTTTTCATAAGAAACTAAATACTCAGAAAGGCTGGGTCATTGCTTCCTTGTTATTCCCATGATAAAACTAAAAGCTTGGCGTGGGATTGCACCTCAGTCTTACTAAGCACGGCCTTTGGGGAGAAACAAACATCTTGTACAGTTTGAACGAAATTCTCCCTTTTCACATTCTACCAAGTACATGGATCTAATTACCTATTAGCCTGCATAACCTCTTACGCTATCCTTGCTTTTGCACACTTGCAGTACTCTCCCAGGATGGCTTCCTTGCCAGCAGGTGGTTTTGGGTATTAGAGATGATGATGATGACACTCACTGTCCTGCAGCAATGGACTTTGTGCCTGGAGCTGATAATAACTCAAGTGGACTCCTACTGATGGTTGAAAGCTGAAGTTTATTAGTGGCCTCAGACTTTATATATTTAGGGTCATATAGGATAAGGGAGGAAGTATTGAGCTTATCAACGAAACCCATAAACTGTTTCTATATTTTTCTTTTGCATATTCCACCAAATGTTCTTATTCACATGTTGCCAACTCAACTGTTCTCACACAAATGTATCCATTTAGTTATACAATGGTACACATTTAGCTGTTCTCATGCGAATTATGTCCAATTAGTTATACAAAAGGTATTCATTCTGCTGTTCTCATACAAAGGGTATCCAGTCAGTTACACAAATGGCATCCATCCACCTATTCTCATAAAATGTTATCCAATCAATTGTAATCTTGTGTTCACTGACTTTCATGAGTCACAATATCCTTCTACAGATGACAAAGGGGTTAGCAGTTGCAAGAGATTTTGGAAGTAATGCTTGATCTATTGCAGAGTCAGGGACAATTACACAGCCACCCAGGATATTCTGAGTGGCTATGCCTTCTATATATAAATGTTTTCGGTGCAGAAGTGTAGCCTCTGTACATGTCAACATTGGGCTGTTTAAAAATTTTTTAGATTTATTAATATTTTAATTACAAAGTCACACGTACAGAGAGGAGGAGAGACAGAGAAGAATATCTTCTTTCTGTTGATTCACTCACTCCCCAAGCGGCCGCAAAGGCTGGAGATGCACCGATTCGAAGCCAAGAGCCAGGAAATCCCCTTCAGGCCTCCCATGCAAGTGCAGGGTCCCAAGGCTTTGGGCCATGTTCCACTGCTTTCCCAGGCCACAAGCAGGGAGCTGGGTGGGAAGCGGGCCCGCCAAGAACAGAACTGGTGGTATGTCGGATCCCAGTGCATGCAAGGCGAGGGCTTTACTCATTAGACTACAGCGCTGGGCCCTGGGCTGTTATAATAAAACCGTCATAAATATTGAGTGCTTCATAAATATTGGGTGTCTCCCTGGTACCATAATAGAGGACAGAACAAATTGATCAACTACCCCAGCCAAGTGTTGACAGTGATTATCTGGGTAAATCGAGTTTGACTATATCAACCAGTGGATTCATCCTGCTTGGAGTGGCGAGATTGGCAGTAATTGAAAGCTGTTGAGCTATCACAGCATTTTGAGTACGACCCTCGGAGCATGCTCCACATTGGGAACCAGGGGAGGTGTTGGGTGGCTGTCCCTCATCCCAGGGTGCAGAGGTCTTTGGGAGGCTGAGTGTAGCTTCTCCCCTTATCTCTCCTGTTTCCCCAGTTACAGGAAGGAAAAAAAGAGAATGTGAAAAGAATGGTTTCATCCACCTTTCTGTAGCCCTTGTCCCTTATCATCCTAATCAACTATGTAAAAATCATCAAAATACATAAATAAATAAATCTTTAAAAAATAAATATTAGGTGTCTCACTAATATTCGGTTCTTGGTTTTTGTCTTTTTCTGTCTTAACATGCTATACATCTCTACTGAATGTATATATAGGCTAGTTATGATTCATACTTGCTTCTGAACATTGTCTACATCTCTTTGCCTACCTACTTAAAAATATTAACAACTTCTTATGAATTATTTAATTTATAAAAAACATTAATTTGTTTGAAAGGTATTGCATTCAACTTGAGTCTCTCCCCAAGAATTGCAGCCCAGACAACTCTGCTAAGCAACAATTTATTGAGGAGGCAGGTAAACAGATCACATGGCAGGGGTCAGCGCTCTCTTCCTTCAGAGTACTTGAACGTGAGAGTTTTCACAGAGTGAGTGAATTATACAGCCTTGGGAACCAGGTGAGTTGGACAGCCAGGGGTGGTTGCCATGGGAACAATGGATAGACAATGGGTATAGCAACCATAGGAGGCAGTCATGGGAACAATGAGCGAATAAATCATATAATATTGATTCCTGGAACTGAGGGTTGCTATCAGGGCATGTTACTCCTTGTGATCTGGCTCAAAAAGCAGGAAACTGGCAAAACGTTTTTTTTACAGAAGAAATAAAGTGCAGGTTAGCAAACTTATGCAGGTCTGCCTGAACCAAAGTGACTCCATTTTGTGAGTGGATTTTACCAAGGCTGAATTACTGAGGAACTGGGAGGGAGAGACAGAGAGAGATTTACAGTCCTCTGGCTCACTCCCCAAAAGGCTGAAAAAACCAGGGCTGGAGCCAATCTCAACCCAGGAGCTTCTTCTAGTTCTCCCACATGTGTGCAAAGGCCTAAGCAGTTGAGCCATTCTCTGCTGCTTTCCCAAGTGTGTTAGCTGGGAGCTGGGTCCCAGGTGAGGCAAGTGGGACTCAAACTGGCACCCATATATTGGGTAGTGGTACTGCACGCTGTGGTATTACTGGTTATGCTAGAGTGCTAGTGCTGTGAATGGTTTAATAGTGATGAGATTTATCCATCCTATTTGTTTTGTACTGATTTTCTATTGTAGCATTCAATTGCACATTATATTTAGAATATTCATGCATTTCATATATTTGAAAACAAACGGGGTCTGGTGCAATGGTTCCAAAGGCTAATCCTCCACTTCCAACCCTGGGATCCCATGTGTTTGCTGGTCTGTGTCCTGGCTGCCCTACTTCCCACCCAGCTCCCTGCTTGTGGCCTGGGAAAGCAGTGGGGAATTGCCTAAGGCCTTGGGACCCTGTACACATGTGGAAGACCTGGAAGAAACTCCTGACTCCTAAATTTAAATTGGGTCAGTAACAGCCATTGTTGCCATTTAGGGAGTGAACCAGGGTATGGAAGATCTTTTTCTCTGCCCCTTCTGCTTTTCTGTAATTCTACCTTTACAATAAAATAATAAATTAATAGTTAAAAACAGAAAGGAAAAAGTTAACACTCATTAAAAGTGAGTTCTTTCCATAAGATTTTCAGAGTTTATAACCCAGGCCTGAGATACATGGTTTTATGTGAGAGAAATAACCGACTTTTATTTATTTGTGCCCCTTTCAAGTTGTCTCACTTCAGGGAGTAGCTAATAATGCATCAATAGAGGTATCAAGAAAAAAAAAAAAAGACCCTTTGCCTCATTCAAAACTTTATCAAGGCATAAAATACATCATCCTAGCTATCCTTAGAATGCTATTTACATTTAAATACATGTATTTATTCAATGTCACTGTATTTAAAAGCAGAGACAGAGGTCTCCCATCTGCTAGTTCACATCCCTGGAATTCCTAACCATGAGGCCAGGAGCTCCACCTATCTCAAAACTGCGAGGCAGGGGTCCAGGTACCTGAACCATCATTTGTTGCCTCCAAAATGCACATTAGAAGGAAGACATAAGATGCGGAATGAAGACCCCGGCAGTTAGGCAGGTGGTGTTCCATGCTGGGACAACTCATGGCTGGAACACCCACCTGTCTATATTGGGAAGACGCTGAATCAATGTGAACTCCGCACAAGTTGACATCGAGTGCAATTTACATGTGGTCTCTGCTCTAAACTGAGTCTGTCAATACGAACTTTAACTTCTCTCCGTCTTCCTGTTCAGCACCCAAATTTGTCTTGCCTTAAATGATTAGTCCAGTCTTACTGTTCATGTTGTGGATTCCTGCTGCCCCGGCCTCACTCTAGAATTATAACCATGAAGAAAACAGTCCGGTTAATACTAATTTTCTGGCTTCTGAATACCTGAAGCACAACACATATCCATTTATCTCAAACAGTTTTTAGCTCAAAACAAAGCGGTTTATGTAGAAAATGCCCTTCAGCGTGGGTTTTTTTGTTTGTTTCTCTTAAATAACCCAAAGCACAGTATTAAAGCTGTTGTCTGGAGGCTTTGAATGGCTCTGATAAAGAGCCTTTGAACTAGATTTGGGTTTCCAGGAATCTGAGGGAAACGCACCTACTTGGAAGCAGACTTGCAAGAATTGGTAAGAGGATAGCAAAAACTGCTTTGGGAACAAATGTGAGAAGTCTACTGAAACTTAACCGCCAAAGGAGACTAGAGCACCTGTTAAATTTCCAGTTGAAACTGCCAATGATTATGTATTACAGAACTTTCAAAGAGAATGGAAGTGGCTCTGGAAAATTACTCAGTAAAAATTACTCAGTAATTCAAAGACTTTGGGTCTTTGAAAGCGCTGTAATACAACTTCATTGTAACAGGTTTAAGTGCAGAGCTAACAGGTACACTGAACAGCAGTGTCAGTTACAATGGTATTTAATTTACATTAGGCATCAAGTGTTCTGCTATCGTATTATCAATTGTAAAAGCTATTTCCTTACCTGGGGCTGTTCAGTTTATCTTCATGTCATGTATTCTTTGTGGGCTCAAGGCACCTATTTTTAGTTACAATTTCCAGGAATCTCCTTTTAGAGAAATTAAAAGGTAATTTGCAAGCAGTGACATGATGGCATTTAATTTTACTCCATTACTTGTGATTCCTTAACCTAAATTTTGAGTCCCATTGACTAGACCCAAACAAGACACATCCTCTGAATCATTTGACCATAGGTACCATTGCCTACTAATAATGAGCTGCGCCGGAAGCTGTAATAAAGTATATAATACCCTATGTGGACAGTTACTAAACAGTACCTCTTCGTTCAAATTTTCACCTTCATATCATATAGTACAGGAGACAAAAAGCCTGCACAAGCGTTCACTCATCTTCCTCAGGACAGCAAATTTTACACCACGACTTGTGTTACAGATCATTCATGAGCTTTGTAGGTGGCTCTGAAAAGAGCCTTTGGGGTGAAGAGTGCCCAAGCACGCGTCTACTTGGAGCTGGTGTACTTGGTGACGGCCTTGGTGCCCTCGGACACGGCGTGGTGGCCAGCTCGCCGGGCAGCAGCAGGCGCACGGCCGTCTGGATCTCCCGGGACGTGATGGTCGAGCGCTTGTTGTAGTGCGCCAGGCGCGACGCCTCGCCCGCGATGCGCTCGAAGATGTCGTTGACGAACGAGTTCATGATGCCCATGGCCTTGGACGAGATGCCCGTGTCCGGGTGCACCTGCTTCAGCACCTTGTACACGTACACCGAGTAGCTCTCCTTGCGGCTGCGCTTGCGCTTCTTGCCGTCCTTCTTCTGCGCCTTGGTCACCGCCTTCTTGGAGCCCTTCTTCGGGGCAGGAGCGGACTTGGCTGGCTCAGGCATCGTTGCAAAGACAACACAATGAAGCGTTCCGAAATAGAGCGTTATTTATATAGCTTGTATGCAAATAGAGGTTTATCGTTGTCATTACCTCATTGGACGAAATAGTCCAATGAAATGCTTCGACGCAAATAGTGAATTCAAACCTACTTTTTGATTGGCTACTTTTATGTACTCGATCATACACTCTTAGTGGGCAGTTTCTATTTCCAAACACTAAATAATTTATGCTTTATGTTCCCGGCCAGCCTTCACCCCCCTCTAAACAAGGAACAAAAGACTGACGACCAAATATGAATACTTTTGTGTCGATGTGTTGTTCCGCTTTTGAAATAAGGATCCCGGGAAAATTTTCTGTAAGGGAAAACTTGCTTGCGAAACTGCCGCTGTTTTGTGTAGATTTGACAAATTGAGCAGTATTGTTAAAGCCACAATTTTTGAAGAACTTGGTAAATTTCAACAGCGGTGTGATTTTAATCATAGCTAGGCAGAAGCGATATGTCCCAAGATTAAAAATTGTAAATAAAGTTAAAATTTAAAATTGTAAATTGTAAGGCTTTTCTTCAAAATTTAATTTTACCGATTGTGTACAAAAGTGGACTTTTTGAACCAACCCAAGACCTACAGAGTTGTTTTCACACTTTTGCAGACTTGTGTGACCGAAAAGAAAACCAAAATAACAAAAGGCGACGATTAAGCAGGACAACTGAGTACCTTTGCAATAGGTGCAGATTCCCTACAGTATGCTAGTAACCAATCAAAGGTCTTACTCAGTCAGTAAACTGCCAGGCGCGGAGTTTGAGAATTCCGACCAATCAGGAAGAAGTCTCCTTTATAAATGGCGCGAGAAACACTGTTGGCTCAGTTATTGCTCTGACCCGTTAGCCATGGCTCGCACGAAGCAGACGGCCCGCAAGTCGACCGGCGGCAAGGCCCCGCGCAAGCAGCTGGCCACCAAGGCGGCCCGCAAGAGCGCGCCGGCCACGGGCGGCGTCAAGAAGCCGCACCGCTACCGGCCCGGCACGGTGGCGCTGCGCGAGATCCGGCGCTACCAGAAGTCGACGGAGCTGCTGATCCGCAAGCTGCCGTTCCAGCGGCTGGTGCGCGAGATCGCGCAGGACTTCAAGACGGACCTGCGCTTCCAGAGCTCGGCCGTCATGGCGCTGCAGGAGGCTTGCGAGGCCTACCTGGTGGGGCTCTTCGAGGACACCAACCTGTGCGCCATCCACGCCAAGCGCGTCACCATCATGCCCAAGGACATCCAGCTGGCGCGCCGCATCCGCGGGGAGCGGGCTTAACTCGTTCTTCTGTGAGGCCCACCTTCAACCCAAAGGCTCTTTTCAGAGCCAATCACCTTTTCTGTAAAAGGAGCTGTCAATGTGTTAAGCTTTAATATCCAGTCCAATCTTGTGGGTTCTCTTCGATCAGGTCCAATCTAGCAGTTAAGAAGTTTGTTACCTTTACCTGTCCCCATAATTTTGGCTCTTATGTTTTTGAGCGGTTGCAGACTAAGGTGGTTCTTGGATGTTTTGCTTGGAAGTTTGGCTAACATTTGCTAAAATGTTACTGTGGTTTTAAGGCCTTGCTGGCCTTGAACTCACCGTTTTGCCAGTGTGGGTTTTGTGCCTTTCCCTGTCACAGTGGCCTGTGAGTCACCAGAAATTTTAATGTCTGTCAAAATTCCCACTTCCTACGAGGCACCTGTTTGGTCCAACAAGGTGGGCAAGCCTGTTAGTATGGGCATCTAAGGTCTTGTGGGTATATTTATCGACTTCCGAAAGATCCTGCAATGGAAATGTTCTTCAAATGCTGTGCCATTCAGAAACAGCAGCATCTGATAATCCATAGTGGATGATTGCCACGGCATGGCAGTCCAGATGCATTTGGCAAAGAAACGGTTTTCTGGGGAAGTGTTCATGTCCTTTTTCGTTGCCAACATTCTGCTTGTTCCAGCTGTGATTGCTTGACGTGACCCTACTTGCAGCTGAAGCTATGGATTTTGAGACAGGTTTAAATGGTTCTGGTTTGCTTTTAAGTTGGCAATTATAACCACGCTTTCCGATGGTCCTGAAAGGGAAACGTTTTTCTAGTGGCACATTTGGAAGGGAAAGTCATTGTCTGCTGTTTTCACTCCTTGACTGTCCCCATGGATCCTGTTTGTCCTACCACAGCTTTTTCCAACCATGAAAGTAGAAGGCTAGATTGAAAATAGAGCAGCAGGGATAGGAACTGGCACCTGTATGGAATGTCAAAGTCACAGGCATGGAAGGAATTTCCAAACCTGACCCAGTATAGTTTAGTTAGGGCCAGACTACAATGCAGTAGCATGTACAACTAACTAGTTGCTGTGCATAGCCAGACAACACTGGCTTTAAGGTGCATTGCTGTACAACCTAGAAAATATGTGTAATGGTCTTAGAAGTGTGCTGGAAAAGAACCTTAGTGTGAAAATCCCAACCATTTGCTCATGGATCAGTGCTACTAAGAAACTCTGTGAGCTTGCAGGCCAAATGGCCTATGTGGCCTTTTGCACTGATGGGCCCCAATTCTTATGAATCAAGGCCCACCTAAGTCTGGCTATCTCACAGATGACTCCAAGTAATTAAGTGGGTGCTTACCATAGTTACTGGAGGCATGGCTGTCCCACTGAGATGGGTAGGGAACATGTGGTATTTCTCCTTACCTTGCAGGGTGTTGTGAATTGCCTCTTTCCAAGTTTTTGAGGACTGCTCCTATAAAAACCCTGTGAATGTGCTGTTCACACACTCCAGTAAGGGATGTCGGTCTGCCAGCTACCTGCTCTCAGACAAGAACCCCGGTTCAGATGTGCTGAACTTGAATAAACCATCTTGAATAAACCATGCTTGTACCCTTGGATCTACTTCAGACTCCTGGTGATTTCTGAGGATCTCAAATCTGGGCACAACAATAGCTGGTGATTATGAACTTCTTTATGCTGCATGAATTTAGTGGCGACTCAAATATACCAGTTTTTGTCCTGTGCATACATGCATACTACTTATTTCTAACTCTGGCATACAAGGGTGTTAACAATGGTTAGTAATAAAGGGAAAATCATAGTAAGGTGAGAATGTGGTTCCTCTAATTCATCCTATATTGTACATATTGATGCCTGGTACAGTACAACATGAGGATATCGGAGAAAGGCATGATTGATGTCTGTGAGTTTGCAGCATAAAACTTGAAGGAATGCAAGTTCAGACAAAAATGCTGTTTTTCTTTCCTTTTTTTTTTTTTGGCTGTGGCTGGCTTTTGGTATTTTGAACTGTGGAAGCAAAAGTGGAGGAACTATTATATGTCTAAATTCTAAGCACTGCAAAGGGTCTTGGGTTAGTTGAGTAGACAAGTAACTAGAAAAGAAAGTCACTAGAAAAATTGCTTTGTACAGTTTTTTGGCTTTAACTCCCATTACATAGTAACACTATTAATTTTCTTCTGGTATCGGATGATCCATTTTTCACAGGGACTGTGCAGCACCTGTTAAGAAGCATAAAGTTCAGTGTGTTTGTTCTTCCGTTCGCTTTCAGGATCCCATATCTGTCAAAGTAGTCCGTACGCAATAACTGTTTATTTTGGGATGTTCTCTGACCTTGCTTTACAAGATATCAGTTTGAGGTAACTGAGTTATAACTTTATAGAACTCTATTGCATATTTCCATATCTTCTCGTTGGCATTACAAGTTAAAAAAAATCAATGAAAACTGTGATAATTATTTAGGAATTTGTTGCTTTGTATTGCTTGAGATTCAATGGTTAGCCCAAATGATTGCAATTTTTTATGACATATTTTGGGTAGTTTTAGCTGCTTTGGTGGTAAAGTGTGCCTATTAGGTTTGGTTTCACCCATCAAAATTATCTTGTCAACATATTGCTAACCTTGTTTCAAAAAGTGTATGATATTTAGTACTGTGCGCTTGAAATATTGAGGGTGTGCGGTAAAAATTAATTTGAGCATTGTATTCTAAGGACATTATTTATCTGTGAAATTCTGTGCAACTCGTTTTGCAAAAAGTCTATATATAAAAACCTAGCTCTAACTACATGATTATTTTTTCTGTTACTTGCAAAGTCCTGTGCTGGGATTAATACAGGGAAATATAGTCAATAACTGCACCATCCTGTTTTTTCATATTGTAATACAGGAGTCCTTGTAATTTATACCCCTTTTTGTCTGCAATGTTTCATTGCTTAAAAGTATGATGCATACTTTTTCAAATGAAACACCAAGCCTATATAGGCATTGTTTAAACAATGCTTCGAATTTCTTTTGTGTTTTATTCCTGTTGGTATTATAACATTTTGTTTCTCATACCCTGTTTATGCAGATCATTGTGCTAACATAGATCAACAACACACCTTCAGACATGAGTGAGCAGACGCTTACAGATTTCAAATCCCAAACCTGGCTTACCCTATTAAGCTGTATTGCTTGGCAATTGTGGTTACAAATTTGTTTGCATTTGGTATTGTTTCAGTTCTGTTAGGGAGATTAATAGAACATGTGTCGACTCCACATACTAAAAAAAAAAAATGTACTTACATTTCTGTTTATAGGTTCCTTACACACTTGTGACTTTTGCTATATCATCCTCTTCCCCCTCCTCCCTCCTGGTAGTACTAGGGGGCGGGGACTCAAAGGGTTTCCCCGCCTTGTCTTGTTCTCGCGCTTTCAAACAGGTCCGCCGCATTGCTATATAAGCAGACTCTTCTTGCATTCCTGGCTACCGGTTGCCTTTAGTGCTTCATTGTTTCCAAAATGTCTGGTCGCGGCAAGGGAGGCAAGGGCCTTGGCAAAGGCGGTGCCAAGCGCCACCGCAAGGTGCTGCGCGACAACATCCAGGGCATCACCAAGCCCGCCATCCGCCGCCTGGCGCGCCGCGGCGGCGTCAAGCGCATCTCGGGCCTCATCTACGAGGAGACCCGCGGCGTACTCAAGGTCTTCCTGGAGAACGTCATCCGCGACGCCGTCACCTACACCGAGCACGCCAAGCGCAAGACCGTCACCGCCATGGACGTGGTCTACGCGCTCAAGCGCCAGGGACGCACCCTCTACGGCTTCGGCGGCTGAGCTGCTCCTGCAACCCCGAACTATCAACCAAAGGCCCTTTTCAGGGCCCCCAACTTTTCTCTAAAGGGAGCTGGCATTTGTGCTTGATTTTTTTTTTTTTTTGTTTTTTTCTATTGAGTTTTAATTATTAACATTGTATTATGTGATACAGTTTCATAGGCACTGGGTTTTGCTTGATATTCAAGTGACTTGGCCATATGTCCAAATTTATAAGTAGGGTTTTGGACCAACATGTGAAGGGTGGTGAAGTTTTGTTATGTCTTTGAACTGCAAATTTGAGCACCAATGTGTTGATTATGGGTCTACTGTATTTACACACGGGTGCAAACATTTGATTTGCATATCATTGAAACTTAATGGAAATAATAGATGCTTGGGTTTGTTTGAAAGGTTATCTGTTGTAATGTATAACATTCTTGCAAAATAAGGCTACCAGTCTTTTATGTGTGATAGCTTTTTAAAGTGTATCTTTAATATGTATTATTTGTATCTTACAAAGTGACTTAATGCTTGCCACCTTCAGAATCTTGCATGAAATTAGTAAGTCCCTAGTCACTGTTTGGAGTGTTAAGTACTTTGAAAATGCAGCCTTTTCTTTTACTTATTGATTTGTTCTGAAGTTAGTTTCTTGAATCAGATGCCAGTGTATACAGGCCTACTTGTTAGCTTCCATGTTTCTAGCAATGAGGTTATAAAGAAATTGGAAAAATTCTTGTTTTAAATATATAAACATTGGTTAACTCAATAGGGTTACATGGTAACTGTCAAAAAATTAAATGTTAGAATACATTTCTAACATTTCATTGATGGAACCACACAATATTTGCAAATTCCCGTGAGGAAGAAAAACAGTTGGGGTCTTCGTTCTAGTCTTGTTCCAGTGATGCTTAGAGGGCCATGGCTTCCATGGAGAAGCACAGAATCAGGATCAGCCTTAGGAAGGGTTCCTCAGTTTTCTGCCTTCAATCATGTTGATGATTTGGCAACACTCCAAGTTAGTTGATATTACCTCGTATGTGTAAGAGGGGCTAAGCCAAATGGGAATTTTTGAGGAACACGGGAATTCTGGTAATGGAACAAGGAAGGAAGGCCTGACACCAGAGCATCAGTGTGTTGGGGGTATTTTTTAGCCTTTGTTAGGCTGAGCCTTTCCAGTCTAATGAACAGATGATTTTTACACTTGTGGCTGGTTGCTGGGAAATCCAAGATTGACAATTAGGCATGGTATGTGAGCCATGGTGAAGCCAAGCAGGATGCTGTGCTTGCCACTGT